AAAAACAAACCATGCACAACTGCAAAAATCATATATCTGCACAGGTCTGACTCAGTTCAGAAACATTTATTTAGGGATTATCAATTTTACAGATACCACAGGCTCTGCTACAAGCAGGCTGCTCAGACTTGCCCAAAGCGTGTCACCCCAGGTTTAACATCGCAGTGGCTTTCCAAGGTGGCTGAGGACTTGGCGAACATGGCCTTATATGGGCAAACGGCTGGGTCAGGGCAGCAGTGTCCCGGGAGGGGAGCAGCCGGCCAAGAAACAGCCCCATGAGCCTGGCCTGGGACTCCAAACTCTGCACGCCTCAGTTTTTGTTTCGATAAACTCACGAGCTACCTCAGTGAGGAGCCCTCTAACGTCAGTCCTGGTTTGACAACTCCGGATTTCACTCCCTGGCCTTTTTACCACCCAGAGGCCAGAAATTTACAGTCACAGAAGGCACAGCCCCCGTGGGCAGTGCTGGTCTTGACCTGATTGCTTGTCATGAGCAGAGCCTGTGCACTGAGCGTGGTGCAGACCGGATGCAGGGGTGACTCCGGGGATCTGGGACCCACAGGGTGTGTCTCATGCTGCCCAGACTGCCCAGTGTGGCAGGCATGTTACGGGATGAGGAGGAAACTGAGGCTGTGGCTGGACGGCCAGAGACGCAGAGTTGGGGCTTCATCACAGGCTCTGTCCGATCATCCCGTCTTCATGCCCCTGGGGGAACCAAGCGACAAAAGCAGCTGCCAGCGCATGGAAGAAGTGGTGAGGGGCGTTAGGAAAAGAGTTAGCCCTCAGGATACCACATCTGTGCCTCAGCCGCGCTTGTGGCCACAGAGTTTACCTCGAGAGAGCTGGAGGGTGACAGCAGGATGCAGTCCTAACCCTAACGCATCTTGCCACAAACTGTCTCACTTTTATTGTGATGTTGGCCCTCTAGGGTTACCGGAGACAGAGGCATCGTGTTGTTCACAGCATTCCGCTTTTCTGAGTGAAGTTTCCATGCATAAAAGAATCATTCTCCATTGCTGAAAACTGAATGAATGCTGGCAGTGAGCTGCCCCTTTTTCTTTTTCCTGAGTGGGAAACGGGTTAAAGAAAACAGACAATGCATGCTGAGGTGGTTGGGAGTACTCAGTGGGGAGGCCACTGCGGATTCCCAGTACCTGTGCTCACCAGCGCAGGGGCAGGAGGGGTGGATTTGGAGGTCGGGGAGGGGGCAGATTCTAAGCTTGACTTTCTCCGTTCCTTAATCCCAGCAGGAATCAGCAGAGCAGCTGCCACTACTAGACACCCACGCTCCACATTTATTTCTACCAGCACTCTCAGAAGCTGAGGCAGGAGGATCACAAGTCTGAGCCCAGCCTGGGCACATTACTGACATCAGAAGGCCCTGTCTCAAGATAAAAAGAAAAAAGGACCCGGGATATAGCTCAGTGTGAAGGCCTTGGTTTGGATCCCTAGTACCACAAGTTACAAAACTTCGAGTGTGATTCTGACAGTACTGCACACTTCACTTTACTCCCTTAATGGCAGAGAGTAAGCTTTGTTTACCTTCGTCCTCTCAGCATCTGATGCTATGTTTGCTGAATGAATAAATGATACACCTCAGATGAAATGACATCTGTTTAACTTGCAACTGGAAACTCCTGAGGACTGTGCTCACTATTGATTCAGATCACGAGGTCAACACAGAGAAGCCTGTGAGGACGCTTATTGGTGCTGTTTCTCATTAAAGGGTGACTTGGTAAGTTAATCATTTTTCATACTTGGGTCTGCGTTCTGAAGTCCTGTCCTTGCACTGTACTCTCTGGGTGTTTATCACACGCCCCTCTCCGGTGTGTGTGGGGGACGTAGCCCTGCCCCCACGCTTACTCCACGGTACATCCTATCCCTTCACCCACTGCGCCTTCCGACTTTCAATTTCCTCCTAACAGCGACTTTTGATCTCCACGCGGAAGGGCTGCACTTTCACTAGCTTCATTTACTGTCTGGCCCGTGGTCCCTGTGAATGGCACTGTGATAGGCAATGAATAATCACCAGCTTCAGGCTGAGTAACTAAGAAACCAACTAATAATAGAAAGGGGGGAAAAAAACCGCAAGGAACCATGGTACAGCCCCAGAACCCAGCCTCTGCCCCTGGCACAGGGTGACAGCCCAGCCTCTTGGGAAGAGACAGGGGCAGCGAAGCAAAGGGGCCTGCAGGGTCCAGAGCCAGGCTTCTGGGGTCACCTGGACGCGCAGGCCCAGCGGCCTCGGGCCAGGCCTCCAGAACCTGATGTCTGCACTCTAGCCACCATCGTTTTAGATAGCATCACACATTTAGGGCCAAGAGTGTAGGGATTTACTTGTTTCACTTGGATGCTATGCTACGGTTTTTCTAAACCATATTTTTTCATAAAATGGTCTCAGAGGAGAGCTTAAAAAAAGAAACGTAATCACTGTAGTTGTGACCCCTGTGACGCTGCTGGTAATTTCTTTCAGAGCGGGCCTGATGACATGGCTTCCTTCTCCAGCGCACACGGACTTGTCCTGCGCAGGCTGGGGGGTTGGGGGCTCTGCAGTCCTCCCATCTCCAGCCTCCTTCCTGCAGCAGCTTTCTTCTGCTCACACTGGAAAAAGCCCAGCAGGAAGCAGCGCCACCTCTAGCTTCCAGCCTGTGCCTGGTCCTGCAAGGAGAAAGATGTCCTGATTCGGGGGGCCCCTCAGGGGTGAACGGGATCGGGGCCAGGTGGGAAGGGACAAGCACTCCTGCTCTGGCACCTGTGCACCGGGGTTCTGAGGCCCTGCCAAGGCTGAGACCGCCCTGCCTGACAGACCCACTGTTAACCGGCACTGCAGTCCTGAAAACTCGGAGTTTTCTGCTATGGCCAAAGGGGGAAAAAAAAAGCCATAACGTAAGCTGCATCATGTCTCCATGGTAACATAGGATGGATCAGTATTCCGTTTACCGAGCTGCTTCTTGGCTTCTCTGAGGCCTCTGAGAAAGGCCTGAATGTGCGCTGAGAAGTCCTCAGAGCTGAGTCACTCTCAAGAACTAGCAATTCCTTTAGTGCCTGGTTGCTTCAGCCATGCAGACGCTGCCTTTACCACGCACGGTGACACCTGGACACCCTCACATGGAGAAACACTGAGGTGCAAGGAGATCTCAATCGACCAATGCTCAGAGGAGCCTGATCCCAAGTTGCCATGGGAACCGAGAGCCCTGGGTACCAGGGAAGCTGGGCCCTCTCTCTCCCTTCCCAGTACAGCGTCCTCTGAGATGTACCAACCTTCGGGCCCCCGGCCCTGCTTCCGCTGGGTTCTGCTTCGTACACGTGAAGAACATAAACTCTCTTGCTTAATACTGAGCATGTGATCGAGTCTAGATAGAAATTGCACAGGTTTCCAGCCAAGGACCCAAGCACCTTCTAATAAAAATGGGAAGGAACCACAGTATGGCTGGTGGTTTTGCACATGGGTTTGGAGGAAGCCGGATTCAGGTTTCAAACAAACCCGAGTTTTCCATTTAGATGACCAGGTGGGTTACTTATGACACGGTTCACTTCCCTAGCGTGTAAAGTGGGAAACACCAGGGCCTCCTGGAATCATGATGGCTGCAGCGCGCGCGCTCAGCCCTAGGGGGCGCCACTCACTCGGAGCCGGTGCAAGGGGGCAGACCGGGTCCCTGGACTAGGCGCCCGGGCAGGGGTCAGCTTGCACTTTCCCACCCTCATATCTGGGCCTCCGCGTGACAGCGTGACAGCGGTCCAACGCCACCTGGAAGAACAAACGCGGCCCGCCCCACGGCCTCAGTACCCCAGGCGGGCTGCCCGGGCGCCACCGTCCCAGCCCCAGTTCCCGCGGAATCGAGGAAGCGCC